CTGTCATGTTGAATTGAGGATTCTTGAACCACTAGAAATAGGATTGTACTTCCTGAATGTTGGGTACCAATCACAAGTGTAGGTATAAGCAAAGTATCTAGATTATAGGCTTTATAGGGTTGCACTGGATCTCATTATACAGGCCAGAACTGAGAAAGTCACACATGCTGGTCAGACATCAAGTCAGAAACAATTTAATTGGTAGATAATGTCACTTCCAGTCCATGCAGGTGGATTTATTTGGGGTTTTGTTCATTTCAGTCCTCTCTCTGTGCACCCCTGTATGATGCAACTACCTGAAACTAACTAAATCAATGAACTTCAACATTTCAGGTGAAAGACCTATAGTATTATTTTTCAGGTAGTTGCATGCATGATACATTTAAGCCTTTAAATAGTGTGGTGGCTTAAGCTGTTTTCTCATCACTTCTTTTGTCTGTAGTGAAAACTTTAATTTACAACATTTTAATTATATAATCTCTTTTTGGTCTAATTGCAGAATTATTTGATGGTGATACAGTTCATAGTTCAACCTCTTTATTAAAGAATTATCAATTATTAGAAAGAATTAATTTTGTTAGCAGTGATAAAACTATCCAGACAAGTTATTATTATGACTTTGTAGCCAGATGGGTATGATTTTGCTTTGGCTGTTCAGCATTTTGATCCATTGTGATATGTCTTGTGGTACCTGTGAATGATTTTACCTGCAAAATGAATGACAGAATATCAGAATGTAACATTACATTAAGATACATCCTTACACTGCAATATAATTATGTAAATATAGGTGTTCAGTGTGAAGAATATGGTCTTTGACATTCTTTGTATATAATAAACATGTTATTGTGAAATGGAAATGATCAAATAAAGTTATTTCTGCAACAGCCCTTGCATTCAAACACCTTATTTGTATTTTTCTTGTTCATGCTTGAGCATCAGCCTCAGGATAAGTAAATTCCATTGGATTTGTGAAAGCACTTGAACTATATTGGGTCATTACATGAATTACAGAAAAGATTCAGACTCCCACAGCCTGTGCTACAAAAAAGTTACAGCTGTGACAATGTAGAGGGGTGATCCAAATAATAAAAATGATGTTTAATATGGACTTAAAATTATTAAGCAATTGAGTGCACCAGCACTTTCCTCTTTAACAAATAAAATTATCTAGCATTGGACTGAGCAAGATAACAAAGTAGGGCACAGTGCCCCTTAATTAATCACTTAATTAAAGGTTTAAATGCTGAATTTTTTGAAAGTGCCAGAGTGGCAACTGGCAGGCTATACTGAAAAGGTAGGGTGTGGACATGCATCCTAAGTAAATACTGCTACAAAAACCTGGTAGTTAGCAGTTAAAAGTTAAAACCAATCACGAATTTCATTATTTCAAAGTAATATAAAACAAAACAAGTCGAGAAAAGGATTTTGAACCCAAGATATGAGACAAAATTAATATCAGAATGAGTTTGAACATAAAGAACAAGAAAAAAGAGGATAACTGAATTACAAAACTGCTGTGATATTGTTGAAAATAGAAATATTATACATTTGCTGTTTATAACGGTAGTTTTTTACCTTTTCCATCGAAATGGCAAGTTAAAATATTTGCCAAGCAGCCCAAGCTTTGGCAAGCTAGAATTTAAAAAAAAGTATTAAAAGAAATAAAACTTTCGTGAATCTTACCTGAAAACAAGAAATATAATAATCCTTCGATTAATTTTTGCAAAAACCAGGGGGGTGAAGGATTTTATTTCAAGCACAGGATCGCGGTTGGTCAGTGGTAATTGCCATGAGCCGGAGGAACCAATTGGCGTCAGCAAACATGAAAATCCGCCATGTTTTTCCGGACACTCGTTTGACTGACGGATAGATAGGAGCACGTCCTCCAGTAATATTATAGCTCAGTGGTGTTCACTCGTGACTCGTGACATAAACATCGGAATCTGCATTATATAATGAGCTACACAATAAATCGCTTGATAGCAAATTCAGACGAACTTTATACGTATTTTTAAGCGTTTATTGCTTTTTTTAAACTAACTTATTACGGCGAAAACATATCAGTTGATATTTAGAGTTTCCATTGGCACAGATTCTGCAAATATATATAAACAAGAGCAGTCTAAAAGAGGTATGATTGTCGTTTTAAATTTATGTATAGTATTGTATACTGATTATCGTTAAATTACTGTAGTCTTACCATGTAATCACAAGATATACGCACCATGCACTTTATGATATATGATTTTGGACAGGGCGTTTTAATTTGTACATGGCTAATATTATGGCTAATATTATGGCGAAACAAAATGGGAAAAAGCTCAGGAATAATGCTGTTTACTGTACAGCTCTAGTACCTGTATTAAGCTGTGCAGTGATTGTTGGCGTCGCACAAACACAAATTTGACGGCGTTTTATTTTCGTTTGAGTGTATTAAGTTTGAATGAACTGGTTCGATCATATAATGCGAGCTACATTTAATAGATTCGACTCGGTTATCAGCCTGAGCCAGATAAAGATAATCAGTTGGAAACATGGCCCTTTCTCAATGTATGAACAACCGAAATACCCAAATCATTATTGAATTTATACCTCCTCAACCTTCCTTAGCATTCCATAGCTTTCCTTGGCCTTCCTTATAGCCTTCCTTGGCCTTCCTTAGACTTTCCTAGGGTTCCTTAGCCTTCTTGGCCTTCCTTAGCCTTCCCTAGGTTTCCTTAACCTTCCCTAGTCTTCCTTGGCCTTCCCTAGCCTTCTCTAGCCTTCCTTGCCTTTCCTAGCCTTCCCTAGCCTTCCCTAGCCTTCCCTAGCCTTCCCTAGCCTTTCCTAGCCTTTCCTAGCCTTCCCTAGCCTTCCCTAGCCTTCCCTAGCCTTCCCTAGCCTTCCCTAGCCTTCCCTAGCCTTCCCCAGCCTTCCCTAGCCTTCCTCGACCTTCCCTAGCCTTCCTGAGCTTTCGTAGCCTTCCTTAGCCTGGCTTAGTCTTCCATGGCCTTCCGTGGCCTTCCTTAGACTTCCTTAGGCTTCCTTAGCCTTCCCTAGCCTTCCTCAGCTTTCTCAGCCTTCCCTAGCCATCCCTAGCCTTTCTTAGCCTTTCCTGGACTTCCTAAGACTTTCCTAGCCTTCCTTACTCCCTAGCTTAGCCTTCCCTAGCCTTCCTTAGCCTTCCTTATGTTTAGAAACTATACCTATATAGAAACTATATTGCCTATATACTGTATAGAAACTATATCTACAAATAGAAACCATACAGAATACGGATGTGATATCTATATGGACAATATACCTATATTGAAACTATACAGGGTGTATCAAAAAAAACTGAACAGATTTGAAATTGCTCTCAATTTCGCAAAACACCTATTTGTATCCGGTTTTTTATATATATAGCTTCTTTGGCTACTTATAATGTAGAATAATGAAAAAAATTTCTCAAACTCAAATTTTGTGAACCAGGGGGTGTGTCTTTTCCAACAAACTAAAAATGGCTCGCGCACAAAATTTAAAAGTTGTAATCATATTTTGAGTTAACAGATGGAAACTTTGTTGGGTTTTTAATTACTGTACAAAATTTCAGACAATTTGGTTTAGTTTAAG